TCCCACACATACTGTGCACATGGACGTCCATGCCTACACTTGAACTCCCACACACTCCCACACATCCTGTGCACACGCACACCCATGCCTACACTTGAGCTCCCACACACTCCCACACAAAACAACAGGGCATCCATTGTCAGGAAAGATTCTCATTTTCACAAGATGAAAAAGTGTGTTAATCAAAAAACATAATATTGGAGATACATCAGCAATGTATTCTGATATGCTCATGGGATCCAAAATGCATTCAGACAGCTATGGGGAAACTGAAGAAATAAAGTGAAAACGGCTGTGTGCTGAGGCATAGTACATGAACCACAATAAGAACGATGACGTGGTCCTCTCCGGTTTCTCACGGTGTGTCATTAAGTCCTTATTTTGTGTGCTGTTACGGCAGCGATTCCTTCTAACCACTGTTAAACTTTCTCATCTTTAGCTCTCAGCAGTTTGATGACGATGCGGGGGCGGGGGGCTGGGCAGAGCGTATTGCGTCTGTAAAGTCTTTTCTTCTCTAGATCTGACAAGTTTACAACCCCGCTGTACAAGCTGTTTGTTCTGTAGCGTTCACTTTCTGCTCTTTCTGGGAGTCCCAAAGTGCTGGTGAAGACATCTCCGTGTTACTCCACACAGGTCTAACGTTGGCTTAGATCTTTTCCAGTCCTTCTCGCTGTTCTTGGTGGATGGTTCCTGCTCCCGGGCCGGTGCTCCCTCCTCCCTCTGTCATCTTCCTTCGGCCATTCAGCTCCTACGCTGAATCCTTTATTATAGACATTTACTTTTTCAGTTCTAAACTCCTGAAACTTCCGTTTCAACAAGTATTGTTGTCAAGTATTGTTCCATCTTCATTCCAAGTGTCCACAGTGACCTCACAGCGTGGTCAGTGTAACTGTGTTCAGGTCTGTCACGGTTCCAGTTTCTTGGGATTGACATCACTATCACCCTCCCCGTGAGAGCTGATCGTGTTTTTAGGTGTGTTTATTTGTTGAGTAAGGTTTTAGAACGTGGTTTTATTTTTATATTGCTTATACCTTGGGGTTTTTTGTTCCTTTCTTTGCTTCAGTTTGCTATAACCTGGGCTCAGGCCACTCTTCTATCTTTAGTGTGGACAGAGGTTTCAGTGTCCTCTCTGTTAGTGAACCCAGGCTGTTTGGAACCTACCCCGGTGCAGCAGCGGAATAACCTTGAGACCTCCAGCTTTGGCCACAGACTTAGGAGTTTCCAGAAGCACCCCCAGAATCAACCAAAGAGGGGGGTGTCTGTTGGCATTTTGGCCAGATAGGCTGCTAAGAGGCAGCCATCTTCTGAGGTTAAGCCAGAGTAGGAGGCTCCTCTCGCCAGGATTCCCAGCAATGAGGGTTTTCTCAGCCTTTCCAAGATACTTCAGCTACCACATGGAACTTGTTGTCAGGTTAAGGCCACAAGAGAAAAGAGAAAGTGAAAATCTGAAACTCACTTTTGTGGGCCACTTTGGGGGGTTTTGACTCCTCTCAGCTTTGTTCACTTTCTAACCCTTCCTATGGCTGCTATTCTGTGACAAGTTGTGACAGGCCGTGACAGGCTGTGGACGGCTGTGGCAGGCTTTGGCAGGCCTTGGAAGACTGTGGAAGGCTGTGTCAGGCCATGGAAGACTGTGGAAAGCTGTGGAAGGTCATGGCAGGGAGTGGCAGGCTGTGGAAGGCCGTGGCAGGCCGTGAAAAGCTGTGGAAGGTCGTGGCAGTCAGTGACAGGCTGTGGAATGCCGTGGAAGGCTGTGGAAGGTCATGGCAGGCAATGGCAGGCCGTGGCAGGTCGTGGAAGAATGTGAAAGGCTTGGGCTTTCCTTCCTTTCCATAAATGAGGGCACTGAGATTCCGGAAGTTCACTGAGGTCTACTAACAGGCCAATGGCAGAACTCATTTCTGATCTCTGGATTCTGAACTTGGTTGAGTCAGAGCCTATGTCAGATCATGTCCCCTTTCACGGTTTCTCAGCTTCCTCATATTAAACAAGCCAAGATCTATGGGCCACTCATTAGCATGTAGCATGTCCAGTGCTGACTGAAGTATTGTAGTACAGCAGTGTCACGTTAACAACTTCAGATGAGGCCCTGAATACTCCGAGTCTTAATCGTGACATTACTTGGAACACTTCAAACAAGTTGTTTTCTGGCTATGAGATCGTGTCCAAGGAGTCTATCACTTTAGCAGAAACCCAGAGAGCTGGCTGGTGCTACCAAGGGCCCTTGTGTCGTCTGTTAATGTGATCATATAGTTTTTCTTTGTTTTTACATACCATGGGAGTAGAAACCATTAAAAAGATTTTAAAATGCTGGCTGATTTTCACATTTCTGGTTGTATTTGGTTATGCTGTATTCTTTTCATGTGAAAAGAATATATTATTCTTATTTGTATATTATTCACAAAGTTAGCTTTCTGCTTATGGCAATTTGCATTTTTTAATTTAAGTTTTGCCCCAAATTATTGTTATGTAAGGCATGGGGCCAACATTTGCCATTTCCTGTGCTGGGAACCGGCTTTCCAGCACTGCTGTGGAGCCACCTTTTAACCAGCCACGTAGAAGTGGACTGGGTGGACTTGGGCACTGCTTTCTGCTCTGTTATGGTTCCACTTTGTTTTCCTGCAGTTCTACACCCAACCACATTGTTTTAATTAATTTCAACATCTGGAGGACCAGTCTTTCCTCATTTCTAATATTGAGCAAAAAAATCTCCTTGGTCTTTAGTGAATTTTTCCAACCATGTGTTTTTAGGGTTTTCTTTAGTGTTCCAAATATTCTTGGGGTTTTCATCCGCGTCCTCTGGGAGGCCTAGTCCTGGCACCAATGACAAGGCATTCTTACCACACAGCACTCACTCTTATTTCAGGGTGCTTAGCA